TGGTTTCACTGCTACAACCCAGGGTTCAATCCCTCGTTGGAGAACTAAGATCCTGCAAGCTGTGAGACATGGCCAAAAAACAATAACAACAAACAGAAAACTGAAATATACAAAGAATCCTTAAAACTCTAATTAAAAAGTGCATAAGAGATATATATAAACATACACCTCACCAAAGAAGAAATGGCAGATAAGCATACGAAAAGATGTTCCACATCATACATCATCAGGGAATTGTGTATTAAAACAACGACGTGGGACCGCTACACACACTACAACGGCTAAAATCCAAAATACCGACACCACCAAACCCTGGCAAGGACGGAGCAACAGACACGCCCACTCGCCGCTGATCCGAATGCACATGTCACTGCCGCAAGACGGTCTGGCCAAACTGAACATCATCTTAGAGATGATCCAGCAGCCTTGCTTCTAGGTGTCTACCCAAATTAGCTCAAAACTTACGTCCATGTAAAACTCTACATAAAAATACTTACAGCCGCTTTATTCCAAACTTGGACTCAACCAAGATGTCCTTTAGTGGGCAAATAAACTGGTATAGCCATACGACAGAATACGACTCGGTGATAAGAAATGAGCTATCAAATCACGAAAAGACATGGAGGACTCTTAAATGCATGTTGTTAAGTGAAAGAAGCCAGTTTAAAAATGTTACATCATGTGTGATTTCAACTACATGACATTCTGGAGAAGGCAAAGTCATGCAGACAGTGAGAGGTCAGTGGTCGCCATGGGGTGGTAACACATGGAGGGTATTTCAGATGGCGATACTGTTCTGTGTACACTGTAATGGTAGATACGCAAGTTTATGCATTTGGCAAAGCCTGCAGAATGTACGGGGCTTCCCTGATAGCTCAGCCGGTAAAGAATCCACCTGCAATTGCAGGAGACCCCGGTTTGATTCCTGGGTCAGGAAGTTCCCCTGGAGAAGGGATAGGCTACCCACTCCAGTATTCCTGGGCTTCCCTGGCGGCTCAGAGGGTAAAGAATCCGCCTGCAATGTGGGAGACCTGGGTTCAATCCCTGGGTTGGGAAGATCCGCTGGAGGTGGGCATGGCAACCCACTCCAGTATTCTTGCCTGGAGAATCCCCATGGACAGAGGAGCCTGGTGGGCTCACTCCACAGGGTCCCAAAGAGTCAGACACGACTGAGCGACGAAGCACAGTGCATAGAATGTACAACAGGAAGAGTGGATTCTATGTAAACTATGCACTCTAGCCAGTAATAATGTATCAGTAGTGGTTCGTCAGTTGTAACAGACATACCACGTAATGAAGATGTTAATAGTGGGGGAAACTACGGTGTTTGGGGGAGGACATACGTGGAACTCTCTATACTTTCCATTAAATTTTTCTATAAACCTGACAAGTATAAAAACTTAAAAACTGCTGAACATCATGTATTTAGAATAATATCTAGCACACGACAAGTATTATACAAATATTTGTCACATACAAATGAATATATGTGGAGCTGGGAAGCCCCCAGTAGGACTCCAGAATCAGTTTCATTCCCCCGACACTTCCACAAGTTGCTCCAGATCTCTTCTGTTATTCTCGAGCCTGTCACCCTGTTTATTGACCTCCAGCTGCTCCCAGAATCTGTGACTGTGCTTATCTGCATGTGTACTGTCCGCCCCCCACTAGCCTGTGGCCCCATGAGCTTGAGGTCACACTATGGTGTTCACCCCCATCTCCCAGGCAGCTGAGGTCTCGGTTCAGGAGGGTGATCTACAAAGCGCTGTCCTGCAGATGCGGGCGGCCCCGCACACAGCAGGGGTGAGCCAGATAGGCTGCCTGTCCTCAGAGGAACATCTAGGTGCTGGGGACAGGAGTGGGGCAGAGCAGGGGCTTAAATCTGGTGGAGCTCAGGAACCCATCAGCTAATACAGGGGCCTGGAACTGAAGTTCTTTTACTTGTCAGAGAAGGTTCTGGAAGAAGGGGACAGCACGGACAAAGGCTTGAAAGTGCAAACAGAGCCAGGCCTGCAGGTGGACTCCTGAGGTGTTCAGAGCATCCAGGGAGACCGCAGGCATCCGAGGTTGCTGTGGTCTGAGGATGGGAGAGAACAGACCACAGAGACCTTTCATCACCTCACTCCCAAGCATAAACGTTCCCTCTCGCTGGGGGTTCCGGAGAAAACAGTCCCTCGAGGAGAAGTTAGCACCCTCAGTCCCTGGGCATACTGCTCAGCTATCCTGCTGAGTCTGACAGAGGAGGGTCTGAGGGAAATCAACCGACAGCTTGGCGATGTTTGGTGGAAAAATGACAATAAGCCGACAGGACTGTGGGTCCAGAAATCAAAGGTTCTGCTGCCATGGCGACAGAGTGACATGGCACCCTGAAATTAGAGAAAAGAGGATCCCGCCAGGGAAGGTTCAGGGAGAAATCTCAGCAGATGCTTAGAGAGAAACGCGGAGACAGGGGCCCCGGGGCCTTGGTCCGGGGGAGTCTAGAGGCCACCGGCAGGACCCCTCCTTCCCGGGCTCTTCTATACAGAGAAGCACTTCCGTGGCAGCCGGCACCTCCTTGGTTTGAGAGCCATCCCTGGAAGGTCTGGAACGGGCTCGGCCTTTAGGCACAGAGCCATGGGCAGCAGCAGAGCTCACCACAGACAGCGAGGGAGGAAGGTGATGTGAGCGATGGTGGCCAGTCACACTGATGCCCGCACAAGGTCCATCTCCTGCAAGTGGCCCCAGGGGACAGGCTCCCTGCATTTATTTCCGGAGCCAGCCTCTTCAGGCTGACTCTAACCCTGCAGCCTCTCCCGCCACAGCCGGATCCCGGGGACCCCGTCGCCTCCCAGCCCCACCTTAACCCTGAGTGAAGGTGGCAGCGCCCGGCCTTGCCGGCGGCCCTGGGGCTCAACACCAAGCCGTCGAGGTCTGCTGTCTGCTCACTTGCCCCAGCTCCAGGTCTGCCCCGGGCTCTGCCTGACTATTTCTGTTAGCTAATTTTAGGCTTTATGCGCAGAATGTGAAAACACTTCTTTGCCCAGCCCACTTCACAGACCAGTCAACAGTCTATGACAGCACCTGAAAACTGCGGAGCGCTGTCATTTATCGAAAGACGGGATGGGGACGTGCGTAAGGCAGTAGCTGGTGGTGTCGCCTCTAAACCGCAAGGTGATCTTCATGTGTCAGTCGCTCAGTCCTGTCCGACTCTTTGCAACCCTGTGGACTGTAGCCCGCCAGGCTCCTCTGTCCATGGAATTCTCCAGGCAAGAATACCAGAGTGGGTTGCCATTTTCTTTTCTAGGGAATCTTCCCAATCCAGGGATAGAAACCGGGTCTCCCGCATTGCAGGCAGATTCTTTTACCGTCTGAGCCACCTTAAGTGCCTTACATAATCTCTCTGGGTTTCTGTTTCCTCATCATTAAAATGGGAATTCAGGATAGCACCTATTCCACAGAGTTACTGTGACAATTCAGTGAAATTAACACACACCTCTAGCTACTAGCATCATCATTATCATTACTCTTATTAGCATTACTGCTTATGATTATCATCTCCTGAGCCAGGGGGCCCAGTTAGCCAATAACAGCTCATCCTCCTGTTCACGCCTGTCTGGATGTCCAGACCCTGGTGGCAGGTGGTGAATTCCCCTGGGACGGAGCTAGGGGCAGAGCCACTCCTTTGTCAGTTGTGCAGACAAGTGATGACCAGACATCACCTCCCCTCCAGCCACAGCCTGTCTGCCCAAGGGACCTCAGCTGAGCGCCTGCCCCCTTGGCCCACGAGCACAGCCAGCGCAGGTCTGTCCTCTGCCGAGTCTGGCTCTGCCTGTCTGGAGTCCTGCTTCCTCCCAGGATGGACACTTAAGGCAGTGAGATGAAGGCGCACAGCCCTAAATCCTTCCCCTAAATCCATGTTGTCAGGAGACATGGAGAGCGGCATTCTCTGCCGCTGCTCCGACTGTGTAACTTCTTAACCAGGCTCAGCGAACCCTCTGCCTGTCTCCAGACAAACGAGGCTGGGTGACTTACTTGCTAGAAAACCTTCTTGTCCAGAAGGATAAACACCTATGTCCCCAATGCATAAAAATGACTATTTCCAGTCTAGTTTTGAAATTCACACTAAATCCCACAAAAAGATTTCCCTGATAATTCAGTGAGAGCCCTAGAGAAAACTCCAGTTTTCTCGATAGAACCTGCTAACCTACAGAGAAATCATATAGTAAAGCCACTGCCTTCAAGCTGGCTCTTTCCAACAAAGGCGTCTTTAACTCTTCTAAGAGAAAGTCATCACTACAACTTCCTTAATTGTGAACTTCCCTAACTGGAGCATCCTAGGAAGACCAATGTGAGTTAAGAGCAAGGCCAAATGCAAGACTACTAAAATATATATTTAACGGTACTTTTATGTAAGGTTCTCCTTTTTGACAAGACATCACTTTGAAGATTCTCTAGTAACTAGAAGGAGCTTTCAGAGTATTTATTCCCTAACAGCAGTCCTGAGGGAACTTACTTTAAAGGAGAGATTAAAAAAGCAATGTAATTTCTCGACTGAAGCATCATATAAATGGGGGCTTCTACAATGTGTAGAGAATACACTGGTTTAAATGAACCAAACTTTCTCCTTAATTCTGCATATAGTAATACATCTAGGCAAACTCACCATCTTTTCCCAGGAGTGACGACCTTATATTTGGCCTTCCTGAGTAATACAGATCTCAAGGGAAAGGAACAGAAATAAGGAGATGTTCCTGATAGGGATCGTGGGTCCACACAGAGCTATGTATTTCCTCGTAATCACCTTGATTTCTTGTCAAGAAGCACCTCTGGGGCAGCTGGGGAGACTGCCTCCCCCCGGCTGGTGCCGGACGCTTACCTCCACGCAGTACTGCTCCACCGTCCTTCTCAGGGGGACGTAGTGCCTCCCCCCGGCTGGTGCCGGGCGCTTACCTCCACGCGGTACCTCTCCACCGTCCTTCTCAGGGGGACGTAGTGCCTCCCCCCGGCTGGTGCCGGGCGCTTACCTCCACGCGGTACCGCTCCACCGTCCTTCTCAGGGGGTCCACAGCCTGCCAGCAGATGAGGATGCAGACGTCAATGAGCAGCATGCCCCCGACGATCACGAGCAGCTTCTGGTCCTTGATGATCTGCAGGGAGGGCCGGGGCAGAAGGGGCGTAAGAGGGCTTCCCGAGCAGCAGCCAAGGGCGGCTGAGCGAATGGCTGCACCTGAAAACCCCCCGGGCCCCTCACCACCCACGGGGTGAATCCAGACAAGCTCCCTTGCTCGGCATCCCAGGCCTTTCAGGAGCTCGGCTTATCCACGCCCCCCGCCCCCACACACATGTGCTGAGTTAAGTTTGATGCCTCTCAGGCTCTGGCCCTGCTGTGATTTTTCACCCCAGGCCTTCGTGGGTGCTGGTTCTTTTGTCTAAAACACTCTGCTCTGTGTGACAGGCTGCTAGAATCCTTGGAGACTCAGACGCACTGTCGCCTCCTCCAGGAAGCCTCCCTAATTCCCGCAGCAGAACTAATTACCTTTGTTCCCATGCTTCATTATACTTAATAAGTTCAATACTTACTAGTAATAGTGACTAGTAATAGTAGTAACTACAAGAGGAGAATAAATGCAAATGCTACCATTTAGTGAACACTGTGCCTGCCTCGAGGTTGATTGTTTCATACATATCATCTCATATAAAGGCAGATACTGTTATTATTCCCATTTTTCAGCTGGAGAAACTGAGGCTAACACTGGGGGCGAAGTCACTTGCTCAGTGGAACAGACCCACTAAGGGGTAAAGCCGGCAAGCTCCTCCCCTCGCCAGAGAGGAGCCTCAAACATTTGTAGCACCTACCAGACGCTACAGTGACCAGGTGCTGCATTGAGCTGCATACAGTCTACCCTCCTCAGTAAAGTGGGCAGCCCCAGACAGAAGGGAAGCCTGTTTTATTTATTTGTTTACCTTCCGCACCGAGCAGGGCCTGGCATGCAGTTGGTACTTAAAAGTTTGATGGATTGAATTGAGATGAAGGAATATATAAAGAAGAAATATAACTCCTGTCCCACTTTGCAGCTGGGGATATCTTTATTACACTGTGAGATTCCCAGCCCACTTTATGTGCGTTTGATGGGGACTGGCCTGGGGACAAATGCTGTCAGGGGTAAAGCTAACCTGTATTTCCCTCAGTGGGTCTTTATGTGTCCTCGCCCCCCTCCCCTAGCCCTGCCCCAATGCCAAATAAAAGCTAATGTGATGAAGCAGTTCTGGAAAAGACTATAGAAAAATAAACAACAAAACTGAAGTAGAAGCTTAAGAAATATCACCAGGTCTGGCTTTTAATGATTAAAGCCATCCTTAAAGGAGAACTAAAAACTCAAGAGGCCTCTCTGTGGCTAACTGTGAAAAGAACAAGAGGGTACTGCCAAGTTAAGGCCAAAGAGATCAAATCCACCAAGCCACTTGACCTGGGGGCGGAGCGCTGACCAAGTCCCATCATCTGAGATTTTACAGAAACATTCAGGGAGCCCATGATGGCTTTAGAAACCTGGCTTGACCCTTGCCCTCAGGGGAACCAGGTCATACCCCGTTAGCCTTGAGAAATCGGGGCAAAAGGAAGAAGTGCCTGAGGAACTCAGGACTGGCTAGAAGGGGACTCCCTCCTTGATGCTCACCCAGCTTCCCTGACGTCCTTCCTGATTTTTCAGCTTTCTCTTCAAAAGCTGCACAAACTCTCCTCCATTAAGTCTGCACATTGGTGCCGTGAAACTCAGCTCTCTCTGAGGCTAGGAGGTTAGCAGTGCTCTGCCCTCACTGAAGGAGAGGTTGGGAGTGGAGGCGCCCAGGAGCAATTAAACATCAAGTTCCGGAATCAGAGCTGAGTTTAAGTCTTACTAACTAGCTGTGTGTCCTTGGTAAATTTCCTAATCCGTCTGAGCTAGTCTCCTCATCTACACCATAGGGGATGATGACCACACAGATTGATAGATTACCATAGTCTGGTCGACTTCACTTTCACTTTTCACTTTCATGCACTAGAGAAGGAAATGGCAGCCCACTCCAGTGTTCTTGCCTGGAGAATCCCAGGGACGGGGGAGCCTGGTGGGCTGCCGTCTATGCGGTCGCACAGAGTCGGACACGACTGAAGCGACTTAGCAGCAGCAGCATAGTCTGGTTTACAGTTCCTGATCAATAGATGTCAACTATTACTATTACATGTTACTCCCCGTGGTTTTTCAGGGCACAGATCAGCAAACTATGAATTTGGCCCCCCGTTTGCCTTTGTAAGTAGTTTTATTGGAACACAGTCACATCCAGGCATTTACGAGTTTGTCTCTGGCTGCTCCTGTTCCATGACAGCAGTAAGTGAATGTGACAGAGACTGTATGGCCTGCAAAGCCGCACATATTTACTATCTGACTTTTAACAGGAAAAGTTGCCTGACATCTTCTTTTGAGAAAATGGCATTTCTTTATTTCTTCAAAAGACTTCAGATATTTTGACTTGATTGAGACTGGTCTTCCACGAGGCTCAGCTCATTGCCTGCTTCCAGGGATGCCATTCCAGAGGGAACAGAGCCTGGATGGTGCCCCTGGGTTGTACAACCAGCGGCGCTGCCTTCCTGCCATCACTCAGATGACAGATGCTCTCCTGGCATTTTCCTGAAGCTGAGCCTGGACGAAATTCTGAGCCTGATGGTATTATTTACAACAGTATCAAGCTATATATGTAGTAAACTTTCTTTGTCTTCCAAAAAACATCTGGCTGCAAAACAGAAGATCTCATCTCTGAGTTACTGCTCTCCTCTCAATGTTTCAACTTGGTCCTAGTAAGAATTAGAGGCAGAATAAAGATGGTGGTAGTGAGGCTTCTCAATTCAAGATTTTACCATTGATCTTTAGGAAGAAAATGGCTACATACTATTACAATACTGAATTTAGAAGCATTAAGTCACCACATGTCAATACTTCCTTTAGCAGGCTTTGTTTTGCTTACTGCCTTTAAGAATGTAGCCAAATGGGGTAAAGTTTGTATTTGTGTGTGTTTGGGGAAGGCATGACAGGGTGGGTGGAGGGAGGTCAGATGAAGTGGGAGCCAGGGAAGGAAGAAAAGGATAAAGAGACTGGAAAAGAGTGTCAGACTGCATTTACAAATTCAGTTAAATCTTGTATATGTGTCAGTAAAAAAAATTAAGGGGCTCACTTTTAAAAAGTCTAAACTTAAAAAAAAAAAACCCAAAATACAAAACAATGACAATAAAAACCGACCTTATGGCTCCATAAAAGGTGGGAATCATGGAGAATTCAATCCTACTTTTGCCCTGTGACTGCCACAACCCTTTCAAAGCGATCTGGTTCCTGACTTGAGATTTTGACCTGTGAAAGGTAAACATTTCTCTTCTATAGTCTTAACCTCCTCTAATTTGGCTGATAAATGATACACAGCTTTAGTGCCACAAGGCTGTTACTGGAATAACTAGAAAGCCTAGAGCAAAACATGTCTCACATTGGAAAGGTGTGTTCATCTGGCTTAAATCACTTTCACAACAGACTCAACTGGTGACTGAACCTTGTGCTCAAAGCCTTTGACCGTGTCTCAGACAGACCCCCTCCCTGGACACCTGCCTGGCTCTCCCCTGGCCCAACCCCTGGGGGTGCAGCAAGTCGCCTTGTCCCAGGCAGCATGGCAGGCTGTGGCCACATCACGACTCCAGCCTCCGTGGGGTTTTCAGACAGCTCAACTCCCGAAGTCGTCCCTGGCACGCTCTGCCAATTGTTGCCGGACAGTCTGAGTGTTCTTGCTTACTGATCGCATGAGCATTGGGAAACAGAGGCTAGTTCTTTATTACCAGTGATAATATGCGTGAGTCACATACTGACACAAAGGAGCCAATGCTGATTCTTCAAAGCCTCGATGGACTTTTCATAAATGACAGAGCCACAGAG